CCAAGTTTGAAACACATAAGAGGATCAGCTTGTACAGGCTGACTGACCCAGTTTGGCTCAGACGTGCCCTAATGAACTGAATGCTGGCCCATGAGGGTGTCATCTGGACACCCAGCCGGATTCAGAGGTATTCTGTTTAACTATGTGCTTGTGTCTGACTGCAGTTTATTGTTGCTCTGATGAACTGCTTCTTGGCATATGAGGGTGTCGGCCTGTCCATGCTGATCAACCCAGCCAGGTCAGGCATGTCACATTAATGTGTGTGTGTGTTTCTGTGTATGACTGATTTGGTGACTGGAGGAACCCAGCCCCATTGAAACTGAGTCCTGCAAGATAGCTCCACCGGGGGTGAGAATTTGCAGAAGGGAGTTATACAGCTCCGTACAGAAACACCATTACACACAAGCAACACATTGATACGATTACCAAGACCACAGGAACGTATCCCTAATAAATGAGCACACCCCAAAGTGATGGGCAAATCTGGTAACAGCCCCACTACTGTCCCCCCCTACAACTGTTTGCCTCACTGCAGGGGGGGAGGGGAGAGACAAATTTAAGATGACCCTCTGATAATTAGGTTTTATACATAGAAAATTATAACAAATTTAGAAATTTTCCATACATAGACTCTAATTCTGTGCATGGGACTGGGGTGATCATTTTAAGTTCAGGGTCATCTTGGATGTGGGTAAATACAATAATAACATACATTTGTTAAAAAAAAAAATCATAACAAAGCAATTTGATTTCAGTCTTTAACAGGGTAATTTGATGGATGAGGGGAAGCAACGGACATAATATACTCAAACCTTAGCATGGCTTTTAATACAGACACTCCTGCAAGTAAATGAGAGATATGTGGCCTAGACAGAATTACTGTTAAGTGGATACACAACTGGTGGACTAACTAGAAAGAAAGAGTAATCATAAATGGCTCAATAGCAGAATGGCAGGACGGTCCCACAGATGCCTGTTTTGGGTCTGGTGCTGTTTAACACTTTTATTAATAAAACTTGGACACAGGAAGACAGAACTTCCTGATCAAGCCTGCAGATGACATGAAACGGGGTGGGCTTCTGAACACTTGGGAGGATTAGATTCAAAATGGCCATGATAGTGCCGAGTTGTCCAATCTAAATGACAGAATGGAATTTAACACACACAGACACAAGGTGCTACACCTAGGGAAGAATAAGCAAATGCACAAACACAGCTGGGTATTGCTGAGAAGGATCTGGAGGTTTTGATGAATCCCAGACTCAACATGAATCAGTGTTGTGATGCAGCTGCTAAGAAAAACAAAGCAATTTTAGGCTGTATCAATAGACATCTAGCATGTATAGTAAGACATGGAAGGTGACAATATCATTCTACTAAGTATCAGTAAGGCTTCAGCTAGAGTTAAGGGGTTTTTTTTTTTGATATCTTTTATTGGACCACCTGTATAATTGGGATAGATATGGAATAGAGAATGGCAGTATGTGCCCAAAAGCTTGTCCAACATCTCTCACAACTATACTGTTGGTCAATAAATAAATAATTTTTTTTTAACATACATTTCCTGAACTATCACCACCACAGCACCATTTTAACCATACTCAACTAAAGTTAGTTCTGGGCCCCACAATTGGGGATATGAAGAAACTGGCCAGAACAGAAGGGAATGCAAACTATACCACGGCGGTGCACCTTTGGGTGCTTGCCGCTTTAAGAACCTGAGCAGGCTGTGAGGCAGCCGGCATGTGACTACAGACCCAATCAGGTTGTCACATGATAGCCAGGAAGCCGCCTGATTGGAGCAGGGTGAAGTAGCCTCAGAATAAGAACAGGCTCCGAGGAACAGAGCCAGCAGTTGCACTTGGGGAGCGGAAGGATGAATATCTCCCAGCCGGCGTACTGCTGCTCCCAGGAACACTCTGGAGGTCAAGGGTAGAAACTATGGGGAAGGAGAAGGTTCCTAGGCACCCAGTGGAGTGGTCCCAAGCCCTAAGGAAATGGCTATGAACCTAGGGAAGAGTGAGGCCAGCCCAGGAAAGGAGCTTAGAGTGTGGGCCTACTGAGGGGCTAGGCAAGCCCCTGATTAGAACTGGCTGGGACAGAGGCCAGAGGCTAAGATGAGCACAGTGGCGTAAAGGGCTGCCGGGCATAAGCTCTCTGGGGCTCTGGGCAAGCCCAGAGAGTTGATGACTTAATGGTGGGGCCCAGGGGGGACTCCTGCTGAGTATGAAGGTCAGCTGCTGCTAGACTGAGGCCAGGGAACCTCAACGGGGGGCCAGGGCTGAAAGGCTGATGGGCAAGTAAGCCCACCGCAAAAGGCAAGCCAAAGCTGCAAAGAGCTACTGGCACCCTGACTAGCCTGGAGGCAGGGCCACAGCCTAAAAGAGGCTGAAGGTCCCTTTGATGGGGGGACACATCACTGCCAAAGAGAGGATAGGCGGTCAGTCGGCCAGCACTCTGGTGACTGAGGGTATGTGATGAGATGAAGGCTGCAACAGAGTGCCCAGAATTGAGTAGCCCAGGGAGAACACCTAGGAGTCCGGTGAGGGAGCGAAAGACGAGGGCAGGTAGGCTTGCAGTGGTCCTGGGGAATGACCTAAAACTACACCCTCCTGGGGAGGATGGTGTTGTGGGGCTGCTTATGGCGGGGCAGTCCTCAGGAAATGCCACACCAGTGCCTCACTAGTGAAAGGTGAGTATGGGGCACTGGAAAGCCTCAGCCCCCACTGCCTAGGAGGTGGCCCTGTGGAAGAGAAAGCCTAGGGGAGCACATCCTGCAACAGCACAGGGGCTAGGAGGGCCCGAGGCCCAAGGCCTAAATGAGAGTGAGGCTTAGCGGGAGGCCTAAGTAGGAATGAGGTCCAGTTATGTCAACAGACACCTGAGGCCCAAGGGGCATCAAGCCCTAAAGCCCCAGTGAGGGTGAGGGGTAGTTACCCCACTGAGGGGACAGAGTGTGAGGGGCTAGGAGCTTAATAAGAGGTAAGGAGCCCAGAGCGTAAGAGGGAGTACAAGGCCATAGGGGAGGGAGAAAAAATGATTGGGGGGCTGAGCACATGTACGCCCCCCCCCCAGCAGGTACATCTGTGGGGGGACAGGCTGGGGGAAGGGAGTGGGGCTTGGGCAGGGACAGGTCCTGTACAGCCGAGGCAGGCATGGAACGGAGCTGTGAGTGGTTTGTCCAGGGGGCGCCTGGCATGGGGAGGAGGTAGTGGCTCCCACTGCTGCACACACCCTGGGAGGGCACAGGCAGCGCGTGCCCCCAGATCTGTGTGCAGGACAGGGCAGGATGCAGGTGTGGGCTGGGGCTGCGCCAGGCTGTTCCCGGCAGGCGG